TTGATATTATTTAGTATTTTTTATAATAGATAATTATAAATTATTTTTTATTTAAATTATAAAATAAAAAAAATTTCAATTCATGCAACGCGTACGTTACAATCTAGTTTTTCACTTAAAATTAAAGATTTCAAACTTAAATCTTTGATCCTTTCTAATTGATGCTTCTAAGACTTTCTTCTTTTCTTATTGATCAAGCTATCATGGTTATAGGCAGTTAAATCTCTTCTTGTGTCAAGATTAGAAATGGATAATCCTTACTTTTATATGTATTTCTCCGATATTTTGTATGTGAACATGTGATAATTAATATATAGTGAAAAACTTTGTTTTTATGGTATATGTTTGATTTGGATCATTATTGACAAATAGGTTCCAACTCTTGACCTAAGTTTTTATCAATCAACAAATAATTTTTAGATATAGCTTTGTGAGTTGATATTCACTTATATCAAACTTTTAAAGTTGTCATATTAATAGTTAGGTTGAGAGATCATCTAAAGATCAATATGATAAAACTCACCATTTGTTTTAGAGATGAAACATATTGAGAGGATATGTGATTATATTGATTGTTAATGAGTTCACATGCCTTATTAAGAAAATACATACAAATTAGATTATCGAGCCCTAATCTTGACATGTTTTTACCAATCGTTTTAAAACCAAAATTTATTTTACCGTTACTTAATATTTTTCATGAAATCAAAACTTTTCGTTACCAAAATCCTTTATAAACTCATGCTTAAAACAATTTCAACTGTAGAATAGAGATAATATCACTCAATCCCTGTGGATACGATAAAGAAAATACTTGTCCTGTAAAAGTGTTTCAACACTTAGTTAGAAATGCATGGGGTATATATAGGATGGATCCGAAAGTACATTCCCAAACTATATTTTGAGGGGGGAAATGGGGTGAGAATCACTAGGACGTGTTTTTGTGTGAAAAGAATACGTTCAAAAATGTACTTCCAGAATTTGAGGAGCATTTTCGAATTTCTATAAGATGTTTTTCTACCGTTTAGGATGTGATAAACAATCCTCAAAACTTTTCAACTATGTATGCGGCTCTCTCCAAAGTTTTTTTACCAAAATCTTCAAAATTATCCTTTTTGTTACCTCTGTAGTAACTAAATGATATATACCTCGTGGCTGTTAATTGAATGGAATACTCCCATGACATTCACTCAAATTACTTCCTCTAATTTTAAATATCGGCAATTTCTCTTTTTATCCTTATACAATGGGGCACACTTCTGAAAATCTCAAAATACACTTGAGTTTATCTAGAGATGCATCTCTGAATGCACCAAATATCATTTCTTGCCAAAATATAGTTCGGAGATGCATCTCCGAATAAATCTAAGGTAAATTCACATATACATCTCTAAAAATACTTTTTTATTTAGAATAATTTTTTAACCACTCGATAATATTTAAGATCCAGTAGGAACTTGAATATATCATCACCTTACATAATCATCTTCTTTACTCTTTAAACTCATGTTGTTCCCGCACCTTGTGAAGTACTAAATAAATGATTACTAGAATCGGGGTTTTGAGTATAAAGATTCTACTGTCCTGTAAAAAGTGGCCCTAATCCTTGAGGGTGGGGCAATATACTTAAGAAATTATTTCATTGAACATATTCTCCTCTGGATCCTGGAATAGCCACATGGACTAAATGCCCCGCCCAAGCTAAAGAACTGACTCCAAATAGTTCTGACAAATGATGATTGAGGCGCGATTCGATATTTTTATACCATGAAACGCTCAGTTTCCATTTTGGTTGTAGGTGTATCCAACCCGCTAATAAGGATATGAAAGAAAGAAATAATAGGCCAATTCGCGATATTGTGCCAATTCCAATTTTAAACTACCGCAGAACCAAAAACCCTTAAAAACTTCACTTTTAACCAACTTTTCTATTCCAAATCAGGTTTATTTCATTTTATCACATAAAGTGGAGCAAATAAAACTGTAATTTGAGGTAAAGTTCTCTCATTTCATCTCTCATTGCTTGCACTAATTTTGTGTTTGTACTGAAAAAATGTTTGTCTTGTTCGAATATACATATTCGAACTCACCTATAATATTTTGGATTTGGATATCTGAATTCATCTATTACTGATTTTTAAGCATTTTTTCTATTTTGATTCTTATTAGATATAGTTCACCCGATATGTTTCTCAAAGTTGTTATACATAATGATGTAAAATAAGGTATAGCAAAGGATAATGTTAAACCAGTTAAAGTGAAGCATGATGTTAAACTGAAAGAAGAGAAGATTAGTGTTAAACTGATTCTTGTCGAGATAGATGTTGGTCAACGTTTCATAAATGAACTTATACAAAATAAAAAAAAACATTTTGATTCAATTCAAGATGCACTTATCGCTTGTATTAGAGGCAACACACCGTTTTCAAAATGGATGTGCTTTCCTGATATGCCACCTTATATCAAGTACATATGATAGTATGTATCAATCTGATAAAATATGGGTTCGTGGAGACATCTTTTCCATTACGAAAAGGTTCGCCTAAAGACCCTTTCGGGCGCATCATGTGCATAGGGTGGCTTTCAAAATCACTGCATTTTGTTCATGTTTATTTGAAGCATGGGTGTTCAATACCAAATACATCGATGGATAGACGGCACATTCAACTAATGAAGTGGAAATTGGTCGGGTCAATTTCTGAAGAGGATGATAGAGTTCACCCAATTGATGGAGCTTGAAAGAGAATCAAATCAAGAAGCGTCGAAGACGGAACCAACTATAGATTTATGCGATACTGAATCTTTTGATGCATTTTAGATTGTAATCGATACACTTTTTGTATGTATTATCGTCAACGATGTAATCTTGATATGATTTAATACATATTAATTTTATGGTTTGCTTTTTGGTTGCATTGCATGTGCTTGCTTATGAAGTTTATTGTTTTTTTCTGGTTCAGGTAAGTTTTCGTATATATATATATATATATATATATATATATATATATATATATATATATATATATATATATATATATATATATATATATATATATATATATATATAGTTACCCTTTTTGCAATAAAAGATGTGGTTTTTTCGGATATGTATTTTCGAAAAGTTACCTGATACATGATAAGGTTTTTGAGATTTAAAGTGCATCAATACTTGTATAAATGAGGTGTGTCTCAACCTTTATTTGTTACATAACACACTAAAATCGGAGAATGAATTCACCTTGCATTTGTGTATTTCAATGGCGAGAAGCCACCACTTTTATTTAGGTTCACCGAGAAAACATCTCTCGCAGATCTGATATCAAACTGAATACTCTCTAGCGTTTTCCAGAAAATTGTAGAGTTGCCAAGCTCGAGTATCGGTCACCCTCGTTTTACAGCGAAAGAAAGGTTCATTTCACTAATTTTGAACTGAAGACGAATTAAGATTTAAAGGTTATGTGGAGTATTTTTCTCCATAACGTTCCGATGAAAACAATATGCAATGTTGAATTTATTTTAATGACTACATATGTAATGAATCTTTTTTATTTAATGTAATGTTGATGTTGGCGTTGATTTGTTTTTTATTTTGATTCTATCATGTTTTTATTTTGAGTTTACCAGAATTAATCTTTTTTATTTAATGTAATGTTGATGTTGGCGTTGATTTGTTTTTTATTTTGATTCTATCATGTTTTTATTTTGAGTTTACCAGAACCAAACGTTCAGAGATATATCTCCGAACACACTCTAAAAAAGATTTTGCAAATGCATCTCTGAATTTAATTTAATAGAAAATGAGATTTGGTGCGTCTGGAAATATAACTCCGAAAACAATTAGTAATTTTGACATTTCGCCAGGGGCCTTGTTAAAAGTATAATGGTGTAAAGAGAAATTGCCTAAATATAAGTGAGAAACTTGGTCCATCTGCATCCTGCGGAGAATTAACAAGTGTTGCGAGAACGGCAGTGTCTTCGATTTATTTTTCAACTGCTTTTTCTTTTCAACTTGACCATTCAATATCTATTGGCTGATCATGTCATATTCACACTTAGTTTCTACAAATTGCTTGTTTTATACGTTTCTTTTGGCCAACAATGATAGATTATAAGACTGATACTATCGACAGCCTTAGAATGGTTGTCTTGGGAGCGCTAATATCAGGTTACACAGATTTTAAACAAGGTACAACTAATATTCAGTCACGTAGTTTCCAAATTGGGGAAGGAAAAACACACAAGATATCATACTTATACAGTTGCCATGGATCCTGAAATTTAAATTCTTCCAAGAAAATACCAAAGCCCGTTTAAACAGTTCATTTCCAACAAATATGTGAATTTCAGTCATGCCGAATTCTGATTACCATAAAATAAATCAAAAATGTTGAGAGCATCCTGATTTAACTAAAGAAATTTTAACTGACTATGAATGAATTCAAAATCGTTTATGAAAGTTACAGAATACAATGGGGACAAAAAATATAATTGAAGAAAATAAATGGACAGGATTAGGTCCAACTCTTCAAAAACAGAAATTCTCTTTACATGAACATTTGTAAACAAAATGTTTCGACCCAACAGGGTTGTCCGTCATCTCCTTAGTTTTTACTATGTTAGTGTTCCATAGTATACTGTCCTAACTAAGTTTTAAAGTTACCATTTCCCTGGTGAAACTCCAACTAGTCTAAACTTTAAGAGTAAATGACAAAAGAATGCTACCTTGTCAAGTATACTTGTAAGAAGACTCAAAAAACGGGCAGTCCAGTAACCGTGCACTCGCCATTGTAGGGTTTGAAGACGTTTGGATGTACATGATCTTAACTGAATGAGCAGAAACTATTTCTGTAACTAGATCCTCTGACGACCAGGTCACAGGGAAGGAATCTTATCTTTGCACCAGGGTTCACCCTCTGTACACTTGTAAGACTATGATGGCAATAATGTTAATAAATGGTATCTAGCTTCAATTGGCTGTTCGAGCTATATGTTACTCTCCGTTATGTCAAAACTTCAAAGACTCTTCTGTAGAAAAGAACATAGGCGGCGGAAGACTTTAACTTCTCCTTGCTGATGGGATAAACACGGCTATCATCAAAGTCATACCATTGATCACCACCATGCTACATTAAATACAAGAGCAGAAGGCAGTGAGGAAGAACACTAACAGAGGCTTACAGGACTTTTTAAAAATAATTTCATGCAGAACATAGTCAAAAACATATATGAACTTTTCGGTGAAAATACCAGTGGATAGAGGCGTTACATTCAGTACACAATAAAGGCAAAAGTAATGAAAATTGTCAAGTTTTCAAACAGTTCTTAATGTTTCCAGGACTTCAGTATGTTGACTATGTTCTATTGATTTCTCATAGTCATAAGTCATATAACCCAAATAACATGCTTAAAAATGAAGACGAAAAATATTTAAAAAATGAACAGCACTTACATGTACAAATGCGGTATAATGGCCACCTCCCATGCTTCCAAAATGGTTACTGACAGCATAAAGTGTGTAATGATAAGACTTCTGGTTCCCGTGGGTAATATAAGCTGACAGATCAAGGTTATCTACAGGGAAGTCAACAAACGTCTCCAGCTTGTTTTTCATGAATCGGCTATATTGAAACCTCTTGAGATGAATAACCAAAATTTCAGGAAGTCTCCAAAGATCTAACTTCTTACTGGCCTGACGATGATCTTTACAGCCAGGACAATACCTAACAATGCAGAAAACTACACTTTAGATACCAGTAAGACTGAAAGATGAATAATTAATAGATAAGAGGGTGGGCATGTTCCAAGGTTTGACCCTAATATATAGAACAGTTATGGGTTGAATACATAAATGTTGTGCTCATGTGTATCTGAAACTAAAATTGGTTTGACCCTAATATATAGAACAGTTGTGGGTTGAATACATAAATGTTGTGCTCATGTGTATCTGAAACTAAAATTATTTGCCAAAGCTTGAATGTATAGTTATCTAATTTAAAATATTCCCTATATAGAAAAAGAGTAACAGACATGCCAATCAAAGTACTTCTCTTTATATTATAAATAACACGGTAACTAACCACATGTCTTCTGGACCAAGAGGTTCTTCTTGTAAGAATGCTTCAAGACACTTATACAGAGAAACTGGTTCTTGAGGTCTCTTTGCTAAAAAACCAGACTTGTAAACCTCAGGCAACGAACTACAAAGCTGCGTGTCATATTTTTTAGTCTGTTTTTCCGACCAACATACAAGCACGTGCAGCAGGTTTAACTCTCCATTTATTGTAAATGGTTCGTTCATTAATATTTTAGAATTTTTGACAGTCCCCTTATCATCTGTTAGGAAAAACTCCATTCCTATATCTAAAGGTGTATCTAACCCATTTACATTGGGATCTGAACAAGGATCTGTAACCCCTTCCATTTCTGCAACTTCAGTTCTCTCAGACACGGCACAATTTTCTAAGGTCCCTTCAATTGAATCTTGTAATGGATGGAACCACTTCAGATACAAATTGCGAAGATCAGATCCATTTACCATATTGCAAAGACTAGCCACAACAGGAATTCCAAATGCCTTCCAATTTGTAGTCGATTTCCCGTAGATGTATTGCCTGACAAAATTATATCAAACACAATTTTTATAAGGCAAGAAAATAATAAGTGACCAAAAAGTAGTCCATGTAAAGCATTTTTGTGAATGTAAGCTCATATAGTCAACAGTTATGCTTTTTAACCGAGTCTCCGGGGATGATTGCTGAATTAAATATAATAACATACCTGCTGAATGCAGCATGCTATAGTGATTATAAGTCGAAAAAGTGTAATGAAACAACTCAGATAACAAATGACTCCATATCTTTTATTTATTTTCATTATTCTAAAAGTTGTCATGCTTGACCGCATTTTGTACCAACATGTTTTAGAACCTCAATATAAGAAGAGGAGAGAGTATGGAACCTCTAAAGGCCATGTATGGAAGACGTGGAAAACAAAACTGAAAGAACTATTTCCAGTGAACTGACATTGCAATATGCAACTTTGAAAACTAGATCAATTAGAGATCCAACTAAAATTACAAAAACAAAAACAAAAACAAAAACAAAAACAAAAACAAAAAAAAAACAAAAAAAGGTTTGAAACTACTAAAACATGCTAACTTTGATTAACATCATAAATTAAGTCTTCCCGATACTACAAGCTTTTGAATATAATTAATTAATTAACTAGCATTCAACCATCATTCTGGAAATCAATCTGAATCAGAATGCTATCGAATAAACTCATTGAAAGTAAACTTTTTCAGTGTTTAAACACTAACTAATTTGGACAATAGTATGTATAAGTCCTTAATTGCTTGAGATTTATCAAAAAGCTTGGTGAAACTAGGACTACTTGCATTCAAACATTCTTTTATGGAAGTTTTAATTCAGATTTATTTGGTGCAACTGTTTGACTTTTGCAGGCAACTTAATTCCATTGAAAGCAAGATATCTCAATAGGTAAGAATTTTATTAAATAAACCTACTTTGCATGAAGTTAATCATAACGAAAAGCTACAACACTAACAATTCGGCCATTAAACAGTATCTAGATAAACTAATAAATAAACTGGTTAATGCCAGCTCAAATTTTTTCTCCAAAGTTTTGTTAACATTGACCAAAGTCAGGTGATAGATAGTCAATGTGTTGAGCTCATTTTTTTGTACATAGGTTCCCAGTTAAAAGGTTGGGCTGGCACGACTACTTTTTCAGAAAAGTTGCTCATAATTTTTATTCAACCATTTTAGTCTAAGACTGATTTTGAGTGTTCAAAAGAATCTAACTAACTCATGACACTCAACAGTCTACAGATATCACCCAAAAAAAAAACAAAAAAGGTCAGTCTTTCCTGATTTAAATTATTCTTATCATCAGACACGTATTGACTTACTCCTCCATCCGCTGATTAATAAAGACGACCAGAGGAGCCTCCCCGTGATCTTTCAGAAACCGATAAGCAACTAGTTTGTCAGCATCTCTGATCAATGATAATGAATCAGCTGGATCTTCAAGGAAGCGTATGATACAGTTGTTGTATACCTGTACCAGAGCCAAGCTTCAGACATCATAGGTTTTTACAAGATTGAAATGTATCAATAAAGAAACTCAAGTACCAAGGATCAGAGTTCAAATTCGAGTTTAAACAAATAAGTTAGAATATGTATACCTCAGCTACTAATAAGGTCTCATCAGACCCCAAAGAGCATGCGATGCTAAGAGCACGTGTTAGATCTTCAAATTTTCCATGTTTGGGAACAGAAATTGTATATGGTGATAATTGAGGCATTCCATCATCAATGTTACTAACAACAGTTAAAGTCATTGTCCGCATTGTTGCTGAAGGTAGAGGTAATGACAAGTACATGAATGGATCAAATGTCACAGAGACCTTCCTACAAATAGGACAAACTAATGTTGATTTATATTGGCCCTGCATAAAATGATGAATGTGATCCACAAGGTAAAGAGAGTTACCATTAGGAAGAATATGTAACCAAAATATTTCACATTTACATAATAAAGACAACAACATTCATCTCAAATAAATTTAGAAAAAATGAAAAAGCAGTAGTGACAGGAAAGGAGCGCATAGTACTTATTCTAACTCTTTCATGAACTTGAAAAAATTGGCACGTTTTCTTATTATTCTAACTCCTAAAAATAACTGCTATCATAAATTCCTATCCATTTTAGATTCCATAAATTGTCAGGAGACAAAGACTACGTAAAAGTAGCAGCAACCAGCATCAAATGCACATCTTTCAGAAGTATTATGACCTGTTACCGTAATCCCCTTGATCATTTATGAAAGACTCAATGGTCAATCTTCAATTTTCCACCCACCTCTCACATAAACCCGTTACTTTTGCTAGATATGTCCCAGCATACACACACTCACAGAAGTTTTTGAAAGCAACTCAATTGTATCATATGATATCTAACACAATAAACATGTGATGTGAAACTTTAAAAGAATTGTTCAGAAACTTTAAATGAATGGTCAGTCCTAAATAATACAGTGTCTGTGTATGTTAATGGAATTCTCTCTTAGATTGACAATAATCAAGCTGTAATTTCTTGAACTTCTGAATTTGGCGTGACAGACAGACATAAGAAGCTGTCACTCATAGTTACAGCCAATTACGTAAAAGTTTAAACTCTTTAAGTAACAGTTTTAATAAATTTGTAAATGTCCATGAAAATCATGAATGTGATCTATAAGTGTTGGAATTAGTAACTTGTTAAAATTCCTAGACTGTGCAGATCAGTGCTAATAAATTAGGCACGAATAATGGATTTATTTGCAACACCAATAGTAATGCAAGGTCGTGTGATCTTAGTTAGACACGCAAAATTACAAGTTCTATATGGTATCAGTAGTTGAAAAGAATAAGAGGAGAATAATTCTTTGATTGTGTAAAATATACAAGGAATTTCTCTCTTCAATAGAGAGAGAATTAGAATCCTAGATTAATCACACAGATTCTAACATAGTTGCATTGACGATAAAAGACTCCAAAAAAATATATTAGCTAGAGAGGGAAACAATATAAATGGCATAATATTCTAATTTATATTCTGATTCTGCAACGTTGGACATATTATCCTAGGGTTACTGTGTTATATTTTTTTTACTGTGCTCTTCCAGTGAGCTTCCTTTTCAGCACCATTTTCCATCAGTACCAACTGTGTTCAGCCAGTTGCACCAGTTCCTGTCGGATCCAACACTGTCGGCAAACATGACGGTGCTTTCCCTGCCGCCACCATGCACCGTCACTGTTCAGGTGCATTTTGTCCAGTTTGAGAAGGAGTGCTAATCAATTAGGCATTCAGTTTATTTATTTGCAACACCGTTGTCTAATTTGAGTTAGGAACACAATTACAAATTATTATAATTAGTTTCTATAACAAACTGCTAACTATCAACCATGAAATTATGAGGTTTCTCACATCATGTATGTGTCATAGTGAAGTAAAAAATTGCATAAAATGAGATGAGTACATACTTGGCACACATCAACAATGACTGAGTCATTGCGAGCCAGATGATAATGCCAATATTCATCAGCAACTTCTTCATCTGGTCGACCATCTCCATCCTTGGCTTCAACATAAGGCTTACATTTAACACGATTCAAATCTTCATGAAGTCCGTCCAATAAAAAAGCAAGAAGCTCCTGTTGAGAAAGATGCATATGCATATATTGTACACAATGTAAGGGTACATGGAACATGAGCAATATAAAGGCAAAGACTTAAGACATAGAAAGAAAGGGCCAGATGCACTAACTTGCGAATCATGCTGATTAAACCCACTAAACTGAGGTGCAAATCTAGCAAGCTTTGATTTGAACATCCTTGGTGCCACAGGGCTTGCACCAGGAGCCCATAACTTCCTAAGTAAATCTCCAAACGCCGACGCTATCTCACCCTGGCAAAGCATATGTCGAGAAAGGAATATTTAGTGAAAGACATCATAAGCAAAGAAGTGCCTCAGCCACAAAATTCTTGAGACATCAAACTAATTGATTATGAGTGATGAATAAATTGATCACATACATTCATGCCCAATGGGTTGTCAGGATTGATTTCTCTACCATAATCTTCCAGAAAATAGTCAACAAGCTTTGGTGTATGAGCTAAGCACTGAAGGGCACTGTTCATGAAGCAAGTATTTCCTAGGTTCTGTAATCCAGTTAATCCCAAGGAACCAGCTTCACCAGGGCCTAGAGAGAAGGTCAAGGAACCCGCACGCATACAATCAGAATTCGAACTGTCAGCAGTACCATTCATCTTCACCGACGCACTGCCAGAAAAACTTGCCATCTCATCTTTTTTCCCTTCCCTACATCTCATTGAGTCTGACAGCCCGTAAACTTGCAACTCTAGAAGAGTCTGTACATATCGTTCATAGTTAAAATTAGTTTGGCAGATAAGACAATCCAATTATAGCAAATAATTCTCAAAAGGTAATGTCATTATAGTAAATTTTAATAAAAACCATAAAGAGACACACAACACAAGACAAGAAATCAGAATAAAAAACAATAGCATATAAAAACTTTCACATAAATTTGAGTTATCCTCACTTTATTCATAAACACAATAAGGTAGATTTGAATACACGGTTGCATCTACAAACCTAATATAAAAGGTCAGTTCTCACTACAGATTGACACAAAAATAAAGCAGGAATACAAAATGCTACAATTTAACATTGAGAATTACTAAAACAAAACTTGAGAGGAAAAAACACAAACAATATTTTGTTGTATAAGGAAAATATGAAGGAAACAAATAGCTTCTAAAAAAAACTACAGTAAACATTTGTCCAAAATCTAAACTATATTTTATCACGTGTAAATATATAAGAACTGTAATTAAACTTTAATATTGTATCTCACACATTAACTGATTACTATATAACGTCTGCAAATCGCATGCAAATATCACACAATATAGAAATACCCAATTAACACAGTCATGCTCGTAATAAAGTTTCTAGGTAGCTATCAAAGTCCGGTGTAATAGTTACTATAGGGAGAAGAAACAGTGATTGTTGTGTACAATCAGATCTGCATTGTCACCTGATGCAGTTCTTTTTCTATAAATTTTTCATAATTTTAAAAAAAAAAATCTACCAAGTACTTGAAATTTTCAATCTGCAAAAAAACTAATCTAAAACAGAATGCTTAATCATCAAAGGGACGTGGAGCAGAACAGATGCCTGTCACTGATGTCGGGAAAAGGGAAAGGTTTGTAATCAAATTTTACCCTGTGAAGTTAAATTACAAAGACAAGCATGAATAAAAAAATATTAATCAAAACCTAATACTGCATACCTCCTGATCAGACTGTCTTCTACAGTCTGCGGGCACAAGATTTTCGTCATCATTAAAAAGCAAGGTTATGTGACCAGAAAAGTCCCAAATGCGTAACTGTACAATAATAAGTTAAAAAATTGTCAATTTGTTGCACTAAAAGTTGAATTGTCCACACACAAACACACAGGAGTAAAACTGTAAAATGTAAATATGTCATTGCATTACCATCTCTGAATCCACGCTGAACATTTTGCAGGCTCTTTTATAAAGTTCAACTGTATTGTCCTAAAAAGAATGGAATACGTTTGAAGAGCTGATTAGAATTTGAAAAATAAGAATAACAACAACAACTACAACAACAACAACAACAACTACAACAACAACAACAACAACAACAACAACAACAACAACAACAACAACAACAACAACAAAGTCTTATCTCGCTATGTGAGGTCAACTACATGGATCAAACGAAACCATAATGTTCTACTCCATCCGTCTCAAACTAGGTGTCTTCTAATGAGTGTTACACATTTTTTATAATAGTGATTAATTGTGTTGATTTCAATGATAAAATGATTATTTACTAAAATAGTCTCATTAATAATAGATAGTGGAGTAATTATATGAATTAAAATATAATAAATAAGGATAAGTTAATGGAAAAAAAATAATATGCGTTGAATTGGTATTTCAAATGGACAAATAATTTGAGACAAATAAAAAGGGTAAAGAGGATACCCATTGTGAGACGGAGGGAGTATCAAATATCATATTTTCATCCAACTCATTAATCTCTAAGTCTTTCTTAATAGTTTCTCTTATAGTTTTTCTAAGTCTTCCTCTGCCTCTACTTATTTGACTATCCTCTATTTGATCTACTTTTCTTACTATATAATCCATACGTCTTCTCTCAACATGCTCAAACCTCCTAAGCTGAGTTACATCATGGCAGCAATCATGCTAAAAAAATTGAAAGGGGGAGGGAACAATAACTAAGAGAAAGAGACACACACACACATACCTTTTTGCTTATTCTTACTTCAAAGGAATTTGTTTCCCTCTGAACAGAAAGCCTGAGTTGTAATGGATATACATCTCCAATATCACTGTCGATTGCTGAAAAGCCCTTTTCATCTTTCATTGCATTTTTCGAGTCGCTGTGCCTAAATAGAAAATCAAAGCATGTGATAATGAAGATATAAGTACATAACAAACTAAATATCATGGATTTGCGAAAACTTTTATCAGCTGCATCAAGAAGCATGAACCATGAACTATTTCTTATTGTGAATCAACATTAAAAAACAATACATGCTAAAAGAGCAATAAATATAAACCTCTGATCCACTTATTAAGAAACACATTATTTGCTACCGGGACTTCTAAATAGGAAGTATTAAACAAAGACAAATATGCTAGTTTAAATTTAATTATTCACAAAAAATTGTAATACGTCCTGAAGTTATGAATTGATTTCATCAAATTTATATATAAATCTATGTTGTTAATCCCAGATAGTGTCGCATATCATTGAACCCCTAAAATGCTATAGCGGATAGCGGGATAGCCGCTATTGCAAAGACTACCCCAATCAAAGTACAAAGTAAACATAAATACTCAAAAATAGAAAAATACACAAAATTAAAGAGACCATCATACTTAATAATTAAAGAGCCCAAAGTATTGAACTTAAACAGAGAAGAACAGAACAGGACTGGACTTAAACTAGGAAGAAGAACATATCAATTGTTGGTGAGCAATTACATGATAGAATGAAGAGCAAAACATTACCCTTAGAAGGGTATAAATTGATATTTATACCCTTTAAAAAAGACAACAAACAGTTTTAAAATAAATTGAAAATTTTTGCCCCGAAACCTCAATAGTGGATATGATACCGTTTTAGAGCCGCATTTCCATTACAATTAGCGGCCGCAATAACGCTATTGCAAACGGCAGCTCGCAGGCCAAAAGTGTCGCGTCGAACTCTACCACCACTATGCTATTCCGCTATAGTGCACACTACTGACATTGACAACATACATATAACTAACATGCTGGTTGTTTTAAAATTCAAGAGTTACAAGAATTATATATACGGCATGCAGTACCATCAGGTATTACTCATTTAGGAGATAATTACATATTAATGGTCAAATGAGCAATTTCTATGCAAAATTGGAGAGTGAACTAGCATCGAAGAACAACTACGCAATATAGTTCAGCAATCAACACAAAAAAATTAATCGTTCCACTAGCCTTCTCACCCATAACATCTGTCCCTAAAGTATAATTCTTTTGATACAGAAACAGAGATATTATTTATGTCAAAAAGCTGGACTATAAATATGAAAGGCTGGGAGAATTTCACACAACACAGAGCACCAATCCAGCTAGCTATATCACACAAAGCTATGATATCCTAAGTTCAAACCACGTATTGAAAAGCTAGGAGAATTTCACACAGCACAAAGTGCCAATCCAGCAAGCTAAATCACAGAGTTATGAGATCCTAAGTCCAAACCATATATTGAAATCAAAATGCCGCATCAGAGAACATTCTACCTTGAACCTAATGCAGTTCAACTATATATTACTATCTTTACTCACACAAGAATCAGATATTTAAACAACAGAAGGGGATAGAGGATGAGATTTTCTCTATACCACTCACCACTTGAGTGCCTGCAACCACATATCTCCGGATACCAAAGCAAAATCCCTCCCCGATAAACCGACTTCACCATTCTCCCGCAATTCTTCCTCCCTCTGAAGATTAAACACAAGATCTGAGCTGAAGATGTTGTTAATGATCTTCATTGGACCATAGGATGAACCAGGCGTAGATGCATACACAATTCCCTTCTTCTTATCCAAATCCACACGCATTGCATCTTGAGAATCCTTCCACCACCTGAAACACACAATCACCAAAACTTCGCACATTCAATCAATTTCTTCCAACCAATTCACACAAGCTCAGATCAAATCAAAATCAAACCAAACTATTCATAATTGAGTCCGTCTAAATCGTCTGAAACCCTAACGGACATTGTAAATGTTGAATACTTCAATAATTACGTATCGATACAAACCAACAGAAAATCGAAATTGAGTTACAGATTTGGAAAAGGAAAGTTAAAGAGAATTGAATTGAATTGAATTAAATTGAAGTAATAATTAGTGAAAATTGAAAGAAAAAAGACCTATGAGGAACGAAATAGACTCGTTGGTCCTTGTTAGAGTCTGGTCCATGAGTGTTATCTGAACAATCTTCGGAACCACACTCCATTTTCGAGAGAGATTTCGAATTCGTTTCGAGAAAATGCAGAGTGTTATTTCAACATTCAAGAGAGAGAAGAGGATGAAGGATTTGCAGAGAAAAAGAAAGAAACAAACAAGTATCACAAGTGTGGAGTTTTTTTTCTTTCTGTAATGCAATGGAAGGAGGAAGAATATACTACGATACTATACTATCATGCGTTTTTGAGATTTAATTACACCTCAACCTCATTCTCTTTACCTTAAAAATCAAGAATAATTAATTTGGGAAATTCTTTTATTCCATTTTTTTATTGAATATTTTCCTTTTCAATAAAAAAAGATTTTGATTGGATACAATGTATGAGAATCAAATAAATATTCTTATTTACTCAACGATCCAATCTAACCATTATACTAGTATTTTAGAAGGTATTTGTTTTTAAATGCTTTATTAATATATTTTAATTATTATATATTATTTTTTATTGTGGCTTACGTATTTATAATATTTTTTAATCATTATATATTATTTTTTATTGTGGCATAATTTTTAATAATTATATATTATTTTTGTTTTGTACCATATGTATTTATTGTAATTGTTTATTAAATATATATTATTTTTCTAAAAAAAAAGTTTCTTTTTTTAAATTTTAATATAAATTTATATTAATATTATTTTGAATAAATCAATTTTTTATTGATTTAGTTTAAATTTCATTTTAGAAATTAATAAAAGGTGAAAAAAAGTCAGATTGATTAACAAAATCATTTAAAGATTAATTTTAAAATAAAAATAAAAAATATTAAAATTAGACGGTATAAAATATCATTTGAATATATGGATAGCAATGGATAAGATATGGGTAGAGTACCATATTACACGTCTTTATATTCAGGGGTTGAAAAATTCGGGTACCCAAACTCATACTTGCATGGTCATTAATGTTTGTATCACTATTTGTATTCGATGGGTACTAAATATTCATATATGTATTTAGGGATGTTGTAACACCCCCCTTAACCCTACAGAAATAATATAGCATAATCAAAGTAAAATTATTATACATACCAAAAGAGGGTGTCACATGTATTTCAAAACCAACAAAAATACATCAGTCATGTTCATAATACGCATTTAAAATCACGTTCCGTACACATATGCATACCAGTGGAATAATCTTGTTTCATAATGATACTAATAATTGAAAATTCCATAATGATAATTATATGATAAAACATTAGGCACTAAGGCCACTCATCACATAATCTCAATACATCATAAATAAAGAGAGTATAACAAACATATCTCAAAACAAACATGAATTCAAACGTTTCCTGTGTTACATAGACCAGAGCATGACTCGCTATCTAAATAAGCAGATAAATAAAAGAATTAGCTCCTCCTACTAATCCTCGCGAGAAACACCATTATCTTTGGTACCTGAGCGATGTCGTATAAAACATCATTTCAACAGAAGGGTGAGAATTCATATCATTATGGAAATATATAATAATAGTAATGCATCACATACAAGCACTAATTGAATTCATCACACTTCATACATTTAAGTATTTAACACTTTCAATACCATTCACATGTTTACATATATAACATAGCTCAATAATTCAAGGTCTAAAGATAAACAATCACAACTACCACCAATGTATTTGTTGCAACTGGTTTTTAAATCAGAGTCGTCACCCTTAATTTTTATCCTAAAGGAATGGAGTATAAAGGAATAATCCTAAAGTTCAGAGATTCTAGGTTTGGACTCTGTTCTAGACGAAGGGAAGGTGTTAGGAACCTCTCGTCTACCTTGTACAGAAGGATACTAGGTTTAGAAGCGCGATTTTTAGGGATAGGTTTTTTACTATTTTTTTAAGGGAAAGGGGTTTTAATTTTAAATAGAGGGATGAGGAGGCTGACAAACGTGACAAAAGATCCAAGCATTAACCATGGTTTCATGACAAGAATCAAATTTGAAAAATTACCTAAATTGTGTGATTCTTGCCACTTTTTGATATACAACGAACCTAGACAGGTTCAAAGGGTCTTGCACGAAATCTTGGGTTCCATGATGGGTCAAGTCAAGCCCAAATGTCCTAACCCATTATTTCTTGTATTTTTATCTAATTTATTTGATTTTAAATTAAATAAAATCAAGATAAATATAAATAAAAATCAAGGCCATGCAAAAATGGACTTAGAGGTCCTCTAAGATATTATGGACATGCTTGAAATCCAAAAAGTAGGCTTATTGGTCCAAAATTGCAATTTTGTTCAATTTGTACTTCATGAATTTCTTCAAAAATCCCCAACTTGTGTAACTCATAACTCGCTCAATTTTCATCTTTTGAAGTTGATCCTTGACTTTTTCGAAAGCCCAAGATGTCCTCTATAATCTCTATGTTGATCATTTTTGTTTTTGAAGACATTATCTTGATGTGAGTTGCCTTGATAAAAAGTGTCTTTTGTTGACTTTTGAAAATGACCTATAACGTATGAGCTCATATCTTCCAAATGAAGCAGTTTTTGGACTTTATAAAAAACGTAAAGTTGTAGATAATTCAATTTTATTCAAAATGAGCTTTGATTGGGGAAAAGTTGATGAAGCATTTGAAAGTTATGCCTGGCCAAAGTTCGGTTGACTTCTCTTAAGGAACCCCTAATTTGACAATTCTCGACTTTTGATGATTTGAGGGATTTCCTTGGGGAATCATGATCAACCTTTAATAAAATTATAAATATCACCTTAAAATGTTGATGTTGACCAAAAATATTAAAGTTTGACTGTATGTTGACCACAGTTGGCTTTTTGACCAATACAGTTGATTTTCAAACATTTGAGCCATTGACTAAGAAAACTTGTGATGTAGGACTTGAAACTTGACATGAACCTTTTTGAGGACCTATGAAGAACTATGGGAACCACTTTATACTTTTTCAAATCAAATTTCCTTGAGAAACTATAAACCCTAGTTATAGGCCTTTGACTTAGGAGGAGCATGTTGACTAGTCAACCCTTAAGTGTCTTAGCCATTTAAAGAGCCTTGAAAGAATGTTTTGAGAAAAATGAGAGGGAAAGTTTTGGGGTACAACAACTGCCCCTATTCAATTTTTTTAAACCTGAAGAGTTAGATTGGCTTTTCCGCCATTCGTGACTTAAAGGTAGATGAAGATTGAACACTCAAGTGCCCAGAAATTTGCACTCGCTTGTGCAAGATGGTGACATTGTTGGCTAATTGCATCGGGAATGGGCTTATAGATTCCATTTGGAGAAGTGACAGAGATTCGTCGGAGATGGGCTTATAGATGCCATCCAAAATAATTGTTGACTTTAACTAGAAGAAGTATCAGAATAAATCTTTGGTTGACTTAAACTGAACTAGCAGAGGTCTTTTACCTGTTTTTCATTGTAAAGGGTATTGGAATGAGTCTTCAAAGGAACTGTCCTTTTAGAGTTTAGTCTCTGAGGAGGATATTTGTTAGATCTCCAAGGGAAAAGCTTTTCAGAGTAAGCTTCTGAGATAAAATGTTGGTCAAAATTCGATCTTCAAAGAAATGTTTGTCGGAATTCAGTCTCCGAAGAAATGTTTGTCGAAATTGAGTCTTCGAGGAAATGTTTTGTCGGAATTCAGTCTCTGAGGAAATGCTTTGTCGGAATTCAGTCTCCGAGGAAATGCTTTATCGAAAATCAGTCTCCGAGGAAATGCTTATCAGAATTCAGTCTCCGAGGAAATGCTCTGTCGGAATTCAGTCTCCGAGGAAATGCTCTGTCGGAATTCAGTCTTCGAGGAAATGCTCTGTCGGAATTCAGTCTCCAAGGAAATGCTCTGTAGGAATTCAATCTCCAAGGAAATGCTCTGTTAGAATTCAGTCTCCAAGGAAATGCTTTGTCGGAATTCAGTCTCCGAGGAAATGCTTTGTCGGAATTCAGTCTCTGAGGAAATGCTTTGTCGAAATTCAGTCTCCGAGGAAATGCTTTGTCGAAATTCAATCTTCGAGGAAATTCTTTGTCGGAATTCAGTCTTCGAGGACATGATTTATCGAAATTCAGTCTTCGAGGAAATGCTTTGTCAGAATTCAGTCTCCGAGGAAATGCTTTGTCGGAATTCAGTCTTCTAGGAAATGTCGTCTGGTCATGTAGATAGTTGATAATATTCATTTGTCTGTAGACTTTACCTAAAAATATAAAGAATTAACTGTGTGCAATGTCATGATGTATGAAAGGCATTGTATAATGATTTCCTCAAAATAAATGAGATTGTATTGTATGCGTTTCATATGCATATGTTATGATATTTTATAAATGATGTATGAATGTGCAATGTTTTTTAGGTGCATTTGTAAATCTTGAGCAACGTCTTAGTCTGGGAAAATAAACCCTTGACTGTCGCTGGGGATGAAGAGTATGTGTAATCTTCAATCTTCTGGGAATTTTTTCCGCTGGGGATTCCTACTTGTTATTTGAGGAAAATCCGCTGGAGAACATTGATTTCTGCTTTCTGAAGGAAATCTGTTGGAGAGTGTTAACTCCTGCTTGGGGAAAAATAGTTCAAAAACTTAGGTTGTTCTTTGCTCTACTGGGGATTTATAATTCCTTGTATACCCTGACTAGGGATAACATCGATGTATAACTTTCTGACTCGTTTGAGGAGGATAAAGTTGACTGACATCTGATCCGATTTTAGATTCAGTAGCAACTCTCTAGGGATAGTGATGACTTCATTGAGGAAGGGAGTTTTTCTGGTGACTCATGGCCATCTGAGGAACAGACTCAAGCTAGGGAGATTGGACCTCACTAGGGAGATAAACTCTGTTGGGGAAATAAACCCTGGTGATGGAGGAATAAACTCTGTTGGAGAGAACCAATCTGTAGGGGTTTTTACAGATCTAAAAACTCAGTTGTGGAGAAGAATTCCCATAAACTATAATGATCGGGATTCTATAGATAGGTGTTGTACCCCAAAATTTTCTCTCTCATTTATCAAGCATTTTCTCACAAAATCTCCTTTGGTTCAAGA